TTGGGTCGTATTTTGTCAGGTGTTTTACCAATTTTCTCTGTTATCTCAAATATATTACTCGACAGATTTCTCCTTTATATTGTAGACATGTATATCCTGTAAATGAACCTTTGTGTAAATTCAGATCATTATAGAACAGAGTGATAATGTACAGGTGTTGTAAATACAGACAGAAAAAGATCAAAAGCTTGAAGAAATATTTGAAGTTAATCATCGAATTTCTATACCTACATAATGTGGAAAGGCCTAAAATATTCACACTTCATCGCCAAATTGAAGCTGATTGACTAAACAAGACGTAGAGAGGCAAAGATTTATTTTTGCTCTGTCATGGAAACATTAAAAGCATCAAATACGGAACAATGCAAGAATTCCCAGAAGCAGTGTTGTGATTTTCCAGGAAGCTGAGGTATTTCAACAAGAGGAAGGCATTGGAATTCCACATTTCACCAAAGTGAATTGGTGGAACCTCCTTAACTCATGTCAATCTATTTGCGTCCATCCACAGGCTAAACTTCCCACTAACTCATTCTCTTTCTATACACTTAGTAGGTACATTCTATATACCAACTCTAGTAAGAACGAATGGACGGTTGGATGGAAAATTCAATTTATTTGCCCCAACCATTCGTCCACCCGGAGGAGTATCTACGCAAATTTGCTCAAATTTCAGGTTTACCCTATTTGTTTGAGAAAATAACTCAATAACTCAGAGTCTTATCCTTTCGGATAGTGTATGTGAGAGTGCAGGAAGGAGCTGTATAGTGTTTTGGAGCTCAGCAAAGCAATGACCTTTCCCTAGATGCGTGATTTCTGCTGAACAGAAATCGAACAATTACTTCACGATGAAATATGAATGCAATATCCAGGCAGTGTTGAGCATGTTTACGGAATGGAGTGGAGTAGAATGCTAAATAATAGACGAGGGATGAGAAAGAAGGTGCCAAAGGGTGAGAAGAACATGAATCGAATTGTAATAATAATTACCAGGAGGGGGTAATTGCTTTATTGAATGCTGAACATCAAGATGAATAGAAGGGAACATGATCAATAACGATGTAGATTCATAATTAATTCAGCTGTGGCATTTAGTACAACGCTCTGAGCTTTAATGTAGCGAAAGCGTCTGCCAACAAGCCTCAATCTCGCTGAGCAATGAGATATTTCCCATTTTTTCGCCCACCGAAGCGTGTGCTCGTATTTGAAAGCACTCTCTCGCCACACTTGACAACGTGGGAATGGGTAAGAGGCATAAGATAGAACGGATGCCGGGGTGGAAATAGAAAAGTTGAATGTGAAAAAGCTGCAATTTCCATCCATATCGTAGGAGTGGTTCTTTGACCTACTTTCCATCATGTGAGACAGAAGCTTTGGCGGAGGGCGACAAAAAATAATCAGGAGAGACATATTTTCATTCATGGGAGTGAAATGAAAAATAAACAGAAACTGTCAGACTGAGAGCGAACGTCGTTCAGGGTTGCTGGTTAAATATTCAATACTTCTACTGAATGTCAGTATCAGTTCCAGGGTCAGCCCATCGATATGGAGTGATGGGAAGCTGATGCAGCATCTCAATTGATTTTTCCAGATCTCGCTCGTAAGTCAGGCGGAAAGCTCCATCGTGGAATTTCTTTTATGAGAAAATGACAGGAGCATTGTGCCGAGAAAAGATCCTTCTTGATATGTTGCCTAACGCAATGATGTTTCCATACAAGGGAAGTTCAATGCAAGAGTGTAGTGTACAATTTATGGTTATCACAGAATTACAAGCCTGGCGGGTTTGGCCCTAAATACATTCCTGTGTTTGCGGCATCAACTTTGTTCAGGGAAAAGTTTTATTCTGAATTTTCCAAGTTTACTCTTGAACTACTACGAAATGCATATGTAGATCAAATCTCGTCAGTCTTCATGCCTTGACTGCTTCCAGTGGGTAAAGCCTATCGACCACTGAGGGATGTTCGGATGGGAGGCAATAACTGAATTATTCATGCTCGTCCGACACACAATCTGCCCAAGTCTATCAGGATTCTTGCAGATAACGAGTGCGTCAAGTTTGTGGTCTGTGGCTGCAGACGAAATAATTGAATTGCGATTCAATCTGCGAATGGCATCATCTTGTGCAGAGGCAGCGATGCATAGATAGACAGTAATAGCGAGACCCTCTGTGGAGATCAGTGATACGCGGCGGAAGTGTCAATTCTACTCACTTCCTAGTGAATTGTGGTGGGATTAAATGGGTGGAAAATTCCGCAGGATGCGGAACCATGCCCCGTGAGTGGAAAGAATTCCCGTGAGACAGTCTGCACAGAAGCGCAGAAAAAGTCGACATCTCTTCGTCACTTCCCTGCCAGGAACGAGGGTGTGAAAGTTGCATGTTGGGGTAAATTTGTTGTGACTTTCCCAGACTTTTCTGCTGCGGGTGGCGGTGAAGAGGGAGAGGGAAATCGCGTCTATATGGGAGAAAAAAAACAGAAGCGATTCAGAAGAAAAATGTGAGATTATAGAGACGATCCGGAATTCGCATTCATGGCGAAAGGAAAAAAAAGTTATGAATTTATGCAACATAATAATAAAGAATAAAAAGTTTTCCTTGGCAACTTTATGGAATGATTGTGCCATCTGTATATATGTATTTCTCTGTTGTGGAAAAATTGTAAATTATGCAAATAGTCCAACAGGGAGAGATATTGACAGGATCTGAGAGGCGCCGAAGTGGGTGAGAGAATGGAAATGTAATTCAATTATACTTTTGTGAAATAAATGTGTGCACGTATATTGAGTCTTCGGGAGGAAACTGCTTTCATCTTCTCATTCTACTCATCCCTTGACTGATCAAAGCTCTCCTCTTGTGCTCTAATTAGGTTCAATTTGAATATCAAGCGTACCTCCTATAATTTGGCCTCTTAGTCGTGCGCTAATTTCAATTAGCCAACATTAGACCGTCTCTCCAGGGTCAATAGTCAAAGTTAAACAATTTCCTCCAAATTTAATAATTCCCCTTTGTCGTTAGCAAGCAGGCGACTCAGACAGTCTGCGTGATGATCTTGGTCGAACATGCAGAGATTTGGCTAGTGTGTGAAAATCGTCCCACTCACTCGACTGTTGTTATCACTGTGAGATGTGGCAGTGTCTCGAAAAACGGAAGAACATCCTGTCAATGCGATAACCATGCCCATGGTATCGACTTGTGAATGTGTGGAAAAATCAGACACACAAATTAATCTACAAACACGATGAATTTCCATAAAAAAAATCAATTTCACCCAATAAATTGAGGGTGTGGCTATAAACTTTATGATTTATAAAATTATCACAACTTTTACCACTTCTTCTCGCCCTCGTCGAAATAGACTCTTAAGTGCAAAGAGCTACAAAAAAATTGACTGAAAGAGAGTGAATTTAATAAAATATTTATGACATATTTCCCAATTCACTGTTCTCAATTAAAAAGCCTTCCGTGCACGAGTTTGGTATGAATTTTACAACACTCAGACAATATTTCTCGGTAACGGAGATGCAATAAAATTCAATTACGGCAAACTTGATAAAAAGTTTCATGTGTATTTGAGAAAAAATATACGATATTAACATTCTGCCTGAGAAGTTTGTCAATAAACATATGTAGCATGAAACACTTTGGAATTACATGTTCGTGTTTAATTCATTTCGCATTTATGCCATTTGCTTAGCAATAAATTAATGTTTGGTTAGTATATTTGCACTGACGAGTGCAAATTAATCTTAGAGCAATATTTGCCATATAAATATGTAATTTGCAGCATTTACAGTACAATATTTTCATGATAATTATACACTTTGGCCAAATTTCTAATTGCTTATTTTAATTTTTCCACTGCTGGATTTATTTATTCAGACTCTTTATCAACATTGAATTGCAATCAATATTTTTAACAAATATTTTGGTCAACAGCTATGCAAATTAAGATTTCACATTATTAAAACGAATCTAATTGAAACTCGTAACTAACTTGCTTCAATTCAATATTAATTTCATAGTGATTTTGAAGTTATTTTCTTGCTGTATGAAAAACATGATACACAAACATTTCAATTGTCAACGAAAAAAATTGAGAAATGGAGAATAGGACTGTGTCATTTCACACAAAATGCTGAAATGAAGCAATAAATAATTTCTGTATGGAAATAAAAACACTTTCACGTATTTAATAATGAAGCACGACGATGGAAAAGTCAATTGATTGCATTCACCCTCCTCATGCACGCTTTAGAATGCGTGACATATTTCCTGATAACATGGAGCTCCCTGCTTGTGAAGTAATGTTGGATTAGTGACTGAAAGTTCCCCTGCTGGACTGCACTGCAATTCATGGGCAGACTGTGGAGATTGACGGCAATAAATGTGACCTAATGCTGGAATTAGGGACAAACTAATATTTTTGCAATTCAGAGGAATCATGAACAATTGTGTGAAGAACTAGTTCAACTCGTCTTGGAGTGTGTCTTCCATTGGGCTCACCAGTGTTTATTTATAGATGCGGAGATTTGAATATGTGAGAATTGCGGATGTTGAAAATTACAAAATTGTTCTTAATGAATTGTTATCTCGAGAACTGGGTGTACATATTTGAATTCACTGGCACATCTCGTCAGCATTGGCGGTGATTCCCGTGTATGGAAAGTTTTCTCGACATGGCACAATAAATTTGCCGTAGAGAAGTCTTTCGTGTCCTCAACTCGGCTTTTGTTTCTTGGAGGAACACATTATAAATCCTCACAGGATGCAGTGGAAAGTTTAAACATACATAAATATAAAGACACTGTGAACTGGCAATGCGCTGGAATTCAATTATTTTGGGTAACCAGGGCAATGTTGCTAGCCTTAGCTTGCCTTATGCAGTGATGTGAGAGCTGCTATAAAAATCAAGCCCATCAAGCTCTAATCCACTGCTAAAATTTATATCCCTGCTTAAAGCCATGAATATCTTTGTCTAATAAGAGTTTCCGTTTGTTGCCCACAGCTTTTCCGCCTCAATCTAGGATGCCATCCAGTGCGGAATTCAGGCAAAAATCGACGTAAACTCATTTTGTTGAGGACACGCTAGAGTTGTCTCAATGAGCACCTTAAATGTGAGTCACATTGTGTTTAAAGTCGAGTTGTTTCTGATGTAAATGTCAATAAGTGTATCAATATGTATTAACATGTTGGTGATCAATTTCAGGCGTACAGTCAAGGCTTCAGACGACGTTCCAATGTATCAAAAAGTTGAGTCCAACGACAGCGGCAAGATGAGAACATTCACCAAAATGTACCTGATGATATGCCTCTCGACGGCCTGCATATTCCTGTACCAGTATCAGTTGTCTCGGGCACGCCTCATTTCGCAGCCACTCCATCAGGAGGCGGACGGGCAGAAAGCCAGTGATTTTGATGTGTCCACAACGACAAATCCTCCGGTGGCAATCTCGGTAAATGATCCATGCGATTCTGTGGAGAGATTCACGACATTCCATGATGATTAACGATTTCTCCTCTGTCCCATTGTCACCAGGCGAAACCACCGTTTCCACCACTGTACATAATCACACCAACTTTCCGGCGACCGGAACAATTAGCCGAACTCACCCGCCTGGGATACACACTGAAGCATGTGCCTAATTTACTCTGGCTGGTCATCGAGGACGCCGAACATGCCACAGTGCTCGTAACGAAGCTCCTGGAGCACATTGGAGTGCCATTTGTGCATTTAGTTGGTGAGTCCCACTTCGTAAAATCTCTTTTCTTCCGTTGCACTGCAATTCGGCTGCTGTGAAGTGCCCTCAGTTCCACAGTGGGTTCACGAGGAGATGGATAAAGCTGATGAAATTCCTTTAATTAAAACACAATGATCAGCTTGTCTGGTGGCCAGGCTACAAATGTAATTACACTTGCCCGAAGTGGTTTAGAATGAGTGGATGTAATTGCAAAAATATGACCTAAAGTCAATTGGGGAGGGCAAAGAATCAATCAAACGGTAGTGCACAATTGGATTTTACGGATTTCTCCAATAAACCCGAAGAAAGTGGCAATATGTGGAAAGTAATACCTACGGGAATAAATAATAACTTTTCTCCCGTTGTTGAAATTCATCCAAGTCCTGAATTAATTTGCTCAACTATCTCCAGACTAATTTAAACTCGTTCTTGTTAATTTGTGACACTAATTGAGGAATGGATGCAGCGTAGCCTGAACTAAATAACGTGCAAATAGAGTGCTTCCAAGAGGCGGAAAAGTTTCCATTAGATTAGGTTGGGGGGGGGGGATTGGTGGTAAATTGAGCCGTGGCAGGCATTCCTCTTTAAGACCAATTCATATTCTTTGCTATTGTAGTTAAATCACATGCAAAGAAGGGAGAAAATTCATGAAAAGTTTCTCTGGCTTGCGAGCGAGGAAAATTAATAAGTACGCTAGGGCTATTCGGAGGGCGGTGAGGAGCCGGAAAGGACAGGGAAAAGAGCATAATTTTAAATTGGGTTTCCTTGTCATGTTGCAGCTGCTATGCCTGAAAAGTTCCGGAAGAACAAGGTGAAACCTCGTGGCGTTTCTAATAGAAATCGTGGCCTCAAATGGATTCGTGCTAATGCAACTGAGGGAGTCTTCTACTTTGCCGATGATGACAACACGTACGACGTGACTCTCTTCGAGCAGGTACATTTCAGTAGTTTTTCCCCCGCAATCCTCAACTTTCGACACTCACAAGTATTTGCAACAGATCCGCCACACGAGGAAGGTGTCTATGTGGCCAGTGGGGCTCATCACGAAGTTCGGCGTGAGCAGTCCAATAGTGCGAAATGGAAGCTTCGCTGGATTCTATGACGGCTGGATTGGAGGCAGGAAGTATGCTGTGGACATGGCGGGATTTGCCGTGAGTGTGAAGTTTCTCTTGAGTCGCCCCAAAGCGGAGATGCCCTTCAAGCCAGGTTACGAAGAAGATGGCTTTCTAAAGAGTCTCCATCCTCTGGATAATTCGGAAATTGAACTCCTCGCTTCCGGATGTACTGAAGTATGTATGACAGAGTTATACAAAAGAATAAAATTCAACAATTTCCTTTCATCTGGTTCACATCCTGATGTAATTCTCTCCGTCTGTCAGATACTCACGTGGCACACGCAGACGAAGAAGAATCAACCAGCGCAGCAGCTCGACATGACAAAGTACAGAGACACCAATTTGGTGAGGTTGCGAGAAATTCTTGTGTGAGATGGGCACTGGATTCACAACAAGGTTAAACTCACACTCGATACATGGACAGACGTGAAAGAATACTGCGGTAATCCAAAAAGATATTTTGTTGTTTGTTCGGCGGGTTAGAGAGAATCAAATATGAGTGGGAGAAGCTCAAAGCAAAAAATAGAGTTTGCATGAGATAAATTAGGTGCTATATTTTTATATCGTACTTAAAGAAACACGAAAAAAAGTGAAAAATACTTGTAGGTAGGATGACGAAAAATTGATAAGAATTGATCCAAAGAGGCGAGAAGAGTCTCCTGAGAGAGATGGTCAGGAACATTGTGAGAAAATTCCGTAGTCGAGTAGGAGAAGAATCATTTTGTCCCAGAGATCGAGAAGACACGGTTGCTGGAGAGTGATTTGAATTGAGCCGCAAAGGAGCTGGGTATCCTCCTTAATAGGAGAAAAAAGGCTTCTTCGAGCTGTACTGTTGATTTTCTTTTACTCTAATGAAAAATTCATGAGAACGGAGCGAAATGGGAACGGACTGGGGTGTCGACCAATAATGAGAAATTTCTGTCCTGCCTTCTGGACAGAATACTGAACATTGTGATTCCATGTAACACTGGGTAGTTGTAGGACGGCGAGAGTGGGCGGAAAGGATAATATTAATTTATTCACTCAGCAGTTAATGGTGGATGTCCTGATGGACGAGTTCACAAATTAACATTCCGAGACGATGACTTTCCTATTGCCATGAATTTAGGTATATATCTATAGTACCTCTACCGAATAGCGTTTAAATACATACAATTTATTTAATTTATTACCTCCTAGTGTGACGATACTTTGAGTATTGAGCTGATATTTTGTGTGTGTGTTTGAGGAAGAATTGTCCTCGATTTTCCTCTCAAAGAGATCCCAAATGTTATAGCAATGCGACCCAAGAGTCACACAAAGAATCCTTATCATTTTGAGAGAATGTCCTGTGCAGAGAAATGACTACGTAAACCCTATCTACCTAAAATGATGTGTTCCGAAGGGGTGAAGCACATAAAATATACCAAATGATACCACATACATAGTATAGACCTTTTTAATAATTCCGAAGAAGAGGGGAAATGAAAAGAAAAAATGTAGTAATTCCTGGAAGAAGATGGTAAAATCTATGAAATACTACATACCATGGATGGAATACGATAAAATTTAATAAATTAGAAGTAAGTGTGAACTGCAACTTGTTCTGGGGGTTTTTTTCCACTGAAAGAGTATGAAGTTATAGTAAAACACCTTCACACAATGTATTAAATTTTAATAATAAAGAAATGCTGTGGTTCTCAATTGCACTCTTTATAAATTGTATTATTCGACATATAAATAAATTTAGCTGTAGGTGGAGAAGATGTGACAAGAGAATATCTTCAACAAAGTTGCTACATTAAACTGATTTACAGAGATTCCCGGAAAATTTCCTTACATGGATTTTCCCTAAAGTTTCTTTCCCATGAGAAATGAGATGATGTAGAATTCATATGGTTGATAATAATTGTGAAAGATGAAAGTTTCCAGATAAATTTGTAAGATATTTTAATGAGATCATATTAAATCGAGAAGATTTTCTCGACATTCACTCGCAAATCTTTTACTGGGACGGGTTGATTCTCTCGTCATTTGGACGAATTACACGAAGAATGAGTGCCTCTTGAAACGACGCATAAAGCGACTGTTGGACCGTGGCGAGAGGAAGACATCATCGGATCCTAAATCTCTCTTCGTGAGCCGAGCAATGAGGGGTCGAGCCTCCTGGTCCCTGAAGCGCAACACCCGGACATTGTGTGGGCCCCAGCAAGCGCATCCGCTGTCAATGAGCCGCGTCTGGATGAAGATACTGGAGGCAAAAGCCATCAGCCACACGGCGATGCAGAAGCAATCTAGTGGAAAATGAGATTAAGAGCGCTACATTGAAGCGGTTTCGTGGGTATGCGAAATGCTCTTATACTATTATCAATTCCATCTCTTCATTATCTACAGGATTTTTGTGCGAACAGAAATTCCGTGGGTAGATTTATAATATTATGTGAGGGTAATGTTGTGATTGCTGAAAGCAAATACAGTGATGAGAAAATCTCTTTTGAGTGCTAAATTATATGCAAACATTAACGGTCTATGAATGTTAAAATAAAGTTGCATAAAAGTTCTGTATTCACATAAATTTTAAAATTTAAATCAGAAACTGAAAGAGTGATTTATTTTTTCGTCTGTGCCATAGTGAGTATGAAAAAGAGATTATTCTAATTCCTTATTTGGTTCAAAAGAGTGAAGCTTTTGAAATTCCTTTCGAATCCTTCATTTTAGAAGCAAAACTTTTCACCCCTGTTTTTGCTCTGATTAGCATAAAAAATAAGTCCAATTTATTTCACTCACAAGACTTTCCCTCTTCTGAAAAAAAAACTGCACGATTCAGCATCAATGAATCATTCGATTCTATTAGCACATGGCTGAGGGTGTCCCTTGAAGAGGAGGATATACTTTCAAGTTTGAATTTCATTTGGCTACACAACTCGGCTAAATACTGTGTCAGCAGAAAGTTCCACTCACCCACAATGTCGAGATGGGGATTGAGGATGGCTTGGCTGAAGGACTTGTCCTTGAGGCGGCGCCAATTGTTGATGATGGCATAGTGGAGATTTCCATCAAACATGAAGAGGAGCGTCAGAGCCATGAAAGTTGATCCCAGCAGAGCTGTATTGACGATAGCGCCCCTGCGGCTCAGGGGGAAGGACAGGACGGAGACGCTCGGAATGACGAGACAGAAGACCATCCAGTAGTAGGATTCCGACTCGAGAATCTTCATGTCGCCGAACATGTACAGCACGAGACAGGCCACAGTGTAGCCGTTGAGGAAACTGCCCAAAATGTCAGCCACATTGGATACCGAGTGACACTGGAGCCAGACGGTGGTCCAAACCACGGAGAAGACAATTACTCCCACGATCATGATGATTACCTTAAGATCTGAGGAAGAAATCATATTGATAAATTACACGTCTCTGCCGCGTTTAATTACAAGAGCGCGGCAATTAATTACGATAAACAGCGAGACACCCCGACGCCCGCATAATTTATCTTGGCCAAGGAGTAGCATATTTTCTGCCACAATGTCTCTGTGGCGGAAGCAAAATTAATCTGTTGGAATAAACACAAATATTCAGTCCTCAGGGCTCGGGGAGGACGCAGCGAAGTGTTGCAAGATAAGGGAAACATTTGCAAATCAATTTATATTGATTTTGCAGAAATCCCCATGGAAAATTCACTCTCAAGATGCCCCATTTCTGGGTCTGAAGTGGAGAAAAGTGCTGATAAATTACGTGTTATTTAAACTAAATGATTCCGGGTGAGTCGCACTCCAATTAATTACACTAATTTATGATTTAATTTCGTCGGAGCAATTTATGGAGGAAAAGCGAGGAAAACGGGAATGTCTTAGCGCAAAGAAGATGAAAATAATTTCGTGCAAGAACCACTTCTAATGAAAGGAAAATATTGCCGCACTTTCAATTAATGAAGAGAATACCCGGAAAATTAATATGAGAGCTTATTCATTGAGAGTCATTATGTTTTTTCCGCTTCTCTCTCTGAAGGTATATTTTGTTGCATCGGCAGAAGGGCAATTCTAAGTGCACAACTTTTGATAACTCCCGCATGTATTGCACAGATAGGGACAGTTTAATAAAGAAACTTAAATTTATTGCATGCCTGTCATTGAGACATGGCAACTATGCAACACGTGAGGTGTTTGCTCGGGTGATAAAAATCAGACACAATTGAGCGATCAATGCAAATGAAACAGAGGGAAAAACTTTCCATTACCCCAGTCGTCCACGGTGCAGAAGATCACAAAGGCCAGATAGCCGCCGATCATGAAACTGTTGACAATGACCCGCAAGTACACCAGCTGACGTCCCAAGATCACTTGACACGCTCCCAGCACCATGATCAGCACCAGAAGGATCATGTAAGATGTGCTCTCTGTTGAGGGGAAAACATGCAGCAACAGTGAGGAAGGGAAGTCTATGCTTATTGACCTGTTTTGTATATGATTAGATATTTTGAATTTCAATGTGACTCACCGACAATGTGGCAGTCGTGAATAGTCAGCTGTTCAGAGCATCCATACGAATGGGCAGGCACATAAGCTGTTGTGATATTCTCCCCCAGACCGTCCATCACGAGGGTCGTGAAGAACATCCCCATGGAAGTGTATCGGGCATATAGCTGGTGAAGGTTGTACTCGGGCACTTTAGTCACGAGATTTCCAAGCTCTACGATCGTCCGAGGCACCATAAGAGCGCGCAAGGAGTCAAAATAGGACCGCTGGGAGAAGTCCTGCCTGGCCAGATACATGTACCGGAACTCGTACAGGAAATTCTCCGTGCCGCAGGTCATGTTGTCCAAACGCGGAACTCCTGAGCCCGCCGGTGGGGTTTCCACCATAACAGTGTCTTCCAGGATGTTGACTCTGAGGAAAGGTGTCTCCTCAACGGGGTGAACCATGTTGCAGCTGCCGGGAATGGCTCCGGTCTTCTTAAACACCACGAACGCCACCGCAACGGACACATTCCTTCTTCCACCATTGGTGTGGAGGAAGTACGTAGAATTGTGGTGAACATTGAAGCCCAGATTGGTGCCATTTATAGCATTTACAGATGGGCTTCTGAGAGACTTCTTGGCGGACAGTGTGATATTATAGAGGAATGAGTGGGTCTGGAAAATGCCAAATCCCACATCCCAGAGCTCATCGGTGCCTCTCACTTCAATTGTGGTCACAGAACTGCCGGGAATTTCGTATTCCCGGTAAAAGTTGATCTCACCGAGGCGAAATGTGTCATTGAGCTGGATTGAAATGTGAAAAGCTGCAACGGAGCGGAGCAATAAAGGGATGGCAACGATGGCAATGTTTATGGGATTCTCACTCACCATTTGGGGTGTATTTGGTGGCCTCAACGCCAATAATTCCACGTTGCCAAACGGCCGAGATGATGAACAGAATTTTAATTAAATTCCACATGATCCGGCCGATGTCTGTCTACCACATGAAATCCTTTTAATCTCACTCACTCTCTCCACTGGAATGCCCAATTTCGCCTTCAGGCCAAATATTTACCGTTTTATCAGTTATCAATTGCATCACCCATCTCACTCTCCCCAGCTAATGGTTAGAGATGCTGCAGATGAGGTAAAACAGTCAAATGAATATTGGCAAACGAGTTTGTCTTTGCTACATTTTTATTGTAGTTAGAGCACCGCCACTCTAGGCACTCTCAGCGCTCTAGTGAATCCAGTGAATCACTCTAAGCAACTCATTCCAGCACTCTAGAATCAGTATTCTTAGAGCTCCACCAGCGACACCTTCTCTATGGTAGAGAAATCCACAATTCAACTCAAAAGCCGATCAACGGCTTTGCGCACCCCTTCCAAATACATTTAATGTTAAATATTTAAAAAGAAAACATTGGAATCTCGTTTACTTTTCGCTAATATACAAACAAAAGGGGGTGAGTTGACTCCGAAACCTCCCTCCAGAATTAATTGAAGCGGTAGTAATGTTTGCTCTCCGACGTTGCACGGGTGGGTCGTCATTACTCAATCCCCAGAATTCCACCGTCTTCAAACAGCAACCCTATTCGTCAATTTGGGAGACGGGCGAAATGTATTTAAGTCGTCGGTGTACCTCCGCAGAGACAATCTATCCCTTAATTTATCTCCCAAGTCAACCCGGCCGGGAATTCCATCATCCAAATGGAATCCCCGGCACACGTGGCTTCCGACGATGTGCAGAAATTCCGTGCGGAGTTTAGTCTGAAACCACACAGAGAATCTGTCAGTATCACTTGCAGCACCGCATGGACAGAATTCTCATGTCAGTGAGCTTTTGTTGTGCATAATGTCAACAAAAGGGGAGTTATGGAGTCACCACGATGCTATGAAAATTCCAACCATGAACTTTGCTTGTCTGAATCATGCTTTGGTTAAAAGTTCGGCACGTCATAAAAATGCCAACCAACAGAAAAGCCAAAAAGTGTGGGCATTGAATAGGGGAAAAGTTTGGGTGGATTGTTATATTTAAGAGAATATTTGTCTAATGACTAGTTTTTGTAACACTAAATTTACCTAAAAATAAAATTTTGGATCACCATGAAAATTACTCTTTGATTGACTTAATTACGTTGATTTTGTGACTTAATTTCCTCCATCATCGTATGTATTTGTTTATACATCTATTGCAAGAATAGAGTTAAACGCATAATCAGTGTTACCGAAGTTTTAAGTCTGCATACTAATTTTTACACAGCTATACAACATAATCTTCAATATAATGCGAAACGTAAGGCGAAACGTGTGAAACATAGAATCATGATTGGGCTTTCACCCTTCCTGAAACGTACAACAATCGTCCTTCGCAATTATAATGCAATGCCCATAGGCACGCGTATCGATGGCATGTAGCATTCCTAGGCGCCGCACCTGATCTACATTCTTTCATAATTAAATACAAAGAGTCCAAGAAACCAATCAAGAAAGTATTGGAAGTATTTCGCAACAAGTGTATGCTTCTGAGAGTGAAATTTTTGGCTGCAAAAGTAATAAATCCAGTAATTGAATAATAAGTGCAGTGAAATTGTAATTTCCTCGGTATTTTGCAACTAGTGGCGTGCTATTGAAATTCACTCGCGCTTTCTGTTGTCTTGGAGATTTCACGAAAATTTTCTTTTCACCATCCAACGTGATGCATTCGAAATTGCGCGGGGGTGTGGAAATAACAGCCGGAAAAAATAATTCTTGCTCTTTGCACGAGCTCACAGGGGTTGTCCTTTGATTCTGGGCTGCGATATCACTTTCGAGGGGATGTCGTGGTAGTTCTTTTCATCCCGCTTATCGTGGCATCTTTCCTGTGTCACCCATTAACCGATGTCGGCGAGGGGGAGAACCCTCCCTCGCATTTCGAGGATGCTCAGTTTGACTACACACAGGACAGATTCTTGTGCACTTTCTCAAATATATCTGACTGTGATGTGCCGATGTGAGAGCAGAGTTGGACACACATTTCGTCAGAGTCGGAGGCTGCAGCTCTTCGGCATGCCTTTCAACATCCACACCTGAAATGGAGATTGAGTGGCGGTATCGTGAAGGAATGGACCTTTTTGGGTGCCTCAGGAGAGAATGCAGAGTGTAAATTTACGAGCACGAGTCCGCCTCTGCGCAATAGAGTCGGATGGTGGGATTTCGCTCTAGCGAGAGTCGTTGGCAGTCACTTTGGTCATTCCACGCGTTCCTCCGTGAGTTTCGTCGCTTTCAGTCTTCAGTGAACTGCCGAAGGTGGATGGTGTATTTCTGTGGAGTGTTGTCGACTCAAGTGACTCGGAATTTCTTCATCAGCATTCCTCTCATACCCTCCCATTCTTGAGCCCTCTCGAGGAATATCGCCCAAGATCTCTCTGGCGGCGAACGAGAACTCTCAGTGGATGTTGATTGTGTAAAAACAGACCCTTGACTCATTTTCACGTGTGAGATCAATCAATTCCCTCTCTGTGACTCTGCTAACCCATCAATCTGCGACCTTTTCGACGCTTCGTGATCTGTGTTGGGAAAGACCGATTGAGGAAGAGTGTGGTCACATTCGGCGGAGAATCAATTTATCCTAAGTGATTCGCTTAACTATTCGGGAAAGTGACGAATAGTCTGGCATCAACTCCAACAATTGAACCTGTAATTGATGCAATTTTCCACTGACCTCTGCCTCTCTGCGCGCGAGTTTTTCTCTCAGTGATTTTGATGCAACTCTCGCGACCAGTTTAAGGAGGAACTCAGCATCACGGTGAGTTTCTGCAATTTTTCCACCTTTGAGATGTTCGTGAGAAACCTACGCCGCGTTGCATCATCGAAAATGGTATTATTGTGTGAAAATAGTGACATCCGCATTTTCTATTTGCCCATGCATTGTAAGAAAATGACTCCGGCATAACCGTAGACACTGATGATATTGAAATCTCTCACAAATATTGCATTATCAACATTAAAATTTATATACTTCCTCAATGCCGCTGACGAGATGCCTTTTCCGTCTTCTGTGTCCCAAATGGTCTTGAGAAAAATTCCCTTCTCCGCCTATTGAGAAGTCGAAGAAAGTTGAAGAAATATTGCAATTAATATCCATTTTAGAGTCCCCAATGTTAGTTTGCTGGCCGAAATTTATCAATACTCCATCAATCAGACAATTGGGGTGAGGAAAGTTTCTATTTTGGCACATAGACAAGATTATTACACAAACTTTTCCCCTATCTGAGGGTTGGTTTTTCTCAACTGTCTCCTGTTACATTTCAATTATATGTTTTTCATCCTCGAAACTCTCTCAACAAAAATATTAGGCCCGCATTGAGAGAAAGGCGGATAAAAGAAAGTGATTTGTTTTCAAGAATAGACGCACTCACGAAAAAAGCCGCCATTCAGTTGAAGCGAAATTTATTCGATTCGCAGTTTTTCTTCCCCATGCCAAGAAAATCCATTAATATGTATTTCTATAAGTTCAGAGTGCACATCACAATTGGATTTGCACCTCAAGAGCCTGGCATTATCGATTTGTCTCTATTCGGGAATTTAGAGAAAATGCGCTACTCGCAGTTGAGTGTACTTAAGCTGCTCAAATAGTTATTTATGAGGCACTAATGAAGGCCACCAGATGGAAAGGAGCCCCAGTTTGGGCAATCGGGAAAGTTTTGTGCAACTCGTCGGTACTCAGATTGCTAAACTGTTATAATTGGTGGACTTTGAGCAATTTGGCAGATTATTTCGCATTATGATCTTCATGCTGTGGGATTTTTCTGGGTTGCTAAATTACTTGTGAGATGATCCGATGTGGCGCGTTCTTGGCAATTTTGCATATCTCCGGAATTCTCCTAGTCAAAGCCTTAGATTGAATTAATTGGGAAATCAAATTATGATTTTTTTGATAATTGACTATAATCATAACACAGCAAGTCATTGGAGAAACCAGACTTTTATTTGAGTTGCGAAGTTTGACTTCGTAAAAAATGTTTTATCAAAATGATCAGATTTTTTTTTCTAATGTCACTAATCCAATCCATCTTGAATCATTCTGAAAATACAGCAAGACAAAAATCAAGTTGATTTGCCAACAATTGAAGGAGTAAACTAATAAATTACAACTCAGATCTCTCTTAGGCAATATTTTACTTCACAATGGTTGCCAATATCACTAAATTAATTTTTACATCAATCAATCTTTTCATTGTCTATACCTTCGCACGTCGGAAGATATATTGCACGTTATAAGGTGGCCTAAGACGACAGTTCACACTTGCGAGCATTAGAAGTGTGTCAAGTGATGTATGGCTCTCTCAGTGAGGTCCTCTAGAAAAACACTACACTTATGTACCAAATCAACCGTGCACAATGTTATTATTTTAAAAACTTTAATGCCTCTTGCGATAACATTTGTATGTAATTGCACAAGCTCGTAAATTGTGCATTGTTGTCTGAAGAAATTTATAGTTTTCTTATCCTAAAATCACTGTGAATCGCTCTCTCAACATTAAAAATAACTTTGTTTGAGTCAAAGAAGAACAATTCACGAGAGGGAAAGTAAGATCTTTAGATTTGCGTGAGGTTAGGAGTATGAAAAGGCTTTTTAATTAAAACATCGATAGAGTGTTGTCGTATCGTGATTGTAATTCGTGGTGTCGACAAAAATTGAGACTTGAACAAATATTACCGTACGCTAATTGCGATTCAATCTCTTAACACTGAACCTGCAATGTCACACAAATGCTACACAATTTAAGCATATCATGAAAGAACACATGACTCGGCAATATGTGCAATTCAGAGGATCTTAATGTTCCCCACCAGTGAAGTTTGATCTCATTTGAAATAAGACAAGTTCAACTGAGATTTCTCTCAGTAGCAAGAGACTTAATTCACGTGGTTTCTGGTGCACTTTGACGCTCAATGGCTGGAGAAATTTGAGGAAATGTGTCTTGAAAATTAACACTCCATCGGATTGAGGTCTCTGCGGAAAAAAGAGAACTGACATGTACCAAGATAAGAAACCTAACTTGACATTCTCAAGTGGTTTTTCCATGACGTTAAGTAGACACTGGGCCAGAGTTCATCATGTTCAAGGAGGGGAAGTGTGGAAAATATAAATAATTTAACAAATATTGTGGCGGAGATGACGAAGAAAAAAGAGTGTTGAATAACGTCTTCTTCCGTTTCTTATTTGATATGTGTCAAAAATGTAAAATATCTCCCAGGGACTTTCTCTCCATGTAAATAAAACTCCATCTAAGTATTGCGAGGCAGAAGACTTTACTTTTCGGTGTATTGTATCTGCAGCTTCATACTAAATAATGGATGGTGTGAAGCGGCACAAAAGGCGACGAGTCGTCACAATTGAGGATTCATCTTTTGCGAGATTAGCGACTCTGTGAAATTTGCCAGCTTTTCACTCACAACACTTGTGCATGGCTTTTCACGCTTTCTGAAGGGCAGAAAAGCTCTAGGGAGAGAAGTGAATTGGAATTTGTCAAACAATCAATCCATCAGTCAATCAACATCGGCAATTCAGCGAAATGTTCTTTTAATTATGTCGAACGTTGTGAGATGGTAAACGTGATTGATGAAGCATTATTCATGCGAAATAATGGAGTGCAGCGATGTTAGTATTTGCAGAGACAGTCACTAATTTACGGAGCTTCCACTTCAAGTTAATCAAATTGAGTGGAGGCACGATTTTCTAAAATTTCACTCATATCAGAGGGCCATCGTAATCTGTAGTACTGTGATTGACACTTTGGGAGATGAGGAGAAATTTTAAAGCTACATTCTATAGATAAAATCTATGAAGAAACGCATCAAAATATTTGGTGAATCGTGAGAAATTTTGCATGAATAAATGAGAATGCATTAAAATCTCTTTACACGCGATTCATTTAAGTGTTATCTCAAAGACTTTCAATAATATATGTATATAGCGTCAGAGTCTATAGACTATTGCGCATATCGACCTTCATATTTGGCAAAAGAAAATTGCAAACACAAAAGAGGTAAAAATCCTGTTCGGTTGTCAGAGATGAAGAGAGAGAAAAAGAGAGAAGTTCGGAGCATGTGAGAAAATTTATTCACGAATATTAATTTCACATTAAAAGCTGACCAGCAAAAAGACCGACATGGAAAGTTCAAGTTGAAGGCCAACAGCAGCACAATTTACTCATCGAAAATGAAATGTAATTAATGTGCAGAGATGAAATTTCATGAGCTATATTTTTTAATTATTTCCCATGATCAATAAGACCATCTGGGTGAACATCATGAAATGGTGGAATAGTGCTTAGTCTCTGCAACATATTTCAAAGACTCTCCTCAATTTGTGTGCTATACGAGAAATCATATTTGTGAGATGGTTTTGATCTTTTTCCCCACCAGTTGATTGCTCGAATGGTCAAGGATTTCCCAATAGGACTTCCCGACCAGAGGGAGTATTGACTATATTGAGAGTGTTTGGAGTGAGTGGAATTTTCTGCAGACTCTGAAAGAAAATGTCTGATGGCTTTGACGATATTGTGCAATCGATGAAAGGGAACTTCTTTCCTCTTTTAAAACTCTGAAAATTGGATTATCGGAATAATTCTCAATTGACATTTATGAATGTGAAATTCTCGTGTGATAATCGCAAGATGATGCGGTTACAGCGTGAGTATTGTGAGTGTGTACGTAATTAATGGGTTTTCGATTTACACGCATCACGAAGCTGAAAATGCCCCTTCGATGGAGTACATTGGCGCTTCATGTCAGCACTTGTGGAAAACATCACAATGCTTTCCTCTCACACTCCCCACACATATTTCAATGGTTAATAAATCCCCCTCACTGGGATATCGCTCTGTTGTCTGCCATTCATCCAGGATTGAGAGTAATCCAAGGGAAAGGCTGTGACTGCAAGGTTGCGCGCTATTGCCGCATGACAAAGCTGTTTAGCATTCTGGAAAACACAGGAAGCTGTTTAGAAATTTAGAGAGATGCTTTGAAAAAGAAACCCTATTTTGTCAATGTTGAAATATGAAACCTGTCTTAGCTTTCCAAGAAATTAATCCATTAAGTGTGGAGAAAGATCGGCGATGATAGCGAATGATTTACCCAAAACCTATAAATAGTAGTTCCTAAAAGCATCTTTTAGTCAACAAATCTCTATTTGCTTCTTTGGCAGTGGAGTGTGGGTTCAAATGAGCGCTCTTTCTGTATCACATACGCAACTAATTCCCACTTTGGCCATCATCAGCACAGCTTTGCGGAGATTCGGCACACACATTCTGAATATAAAACAAATATTTGTTTTCAAAATTGACAAGGTATTTTTACTGTGATAATTATACATATAGAAAACGGAATGTGGGAGAAAGGGGGAAATTCGTCAAGTGAAATTCACATGGAAAGCCTTTGAGATTTACAGTATAAACAATAAGAGTGTTGCATGAAAAATTAATCGGCGTGCAAATGAGATACATAATCTTCCTCGGGTATTACAGAACTTACAGCAAAAACGCTATAAATTTGTATGAGGTGAGCGCAGTTTAGGCGTTACAAAACATCTGCATTACGGAAGTGCGGTGTACGCTTCTGTGTCGAAGCACGTCTTAACTTGGCGTTACTTTTGCGTGTCATCTTGAAACAGTGCGAGTGTCAACCAACTTTGTCAAATCGACACTTTCGCCAAATGATTTAAAGTGTGTGGTTTGCCGAGTCGAAAGTTAGATTCCCGATAAGATTCACTATGAGCAAACTTGAGGCAATGGATAAAGT